TCAGATAATGCATCACAGCTGTAGCGCGGAACGATTACACTTTATAACACTGCTGCATATAATACTGCAAAAGAAGTAAAACGTAACTCGATGCATGCCATTAGCGAGTATAGAACATTTCAGTATGTCTTAAGGCAAAATGGTTTTGAAAACCGAGTCGCTGGGCTATTTATTTATTTAAATCTTTGAGACCTCTCGTCAGTTAAGCCCGGGCTGCAGCGTTTGCGAGAGTTATGGTGAAGCAACACCGGCCCGGCGACTGATTGATTCAACTTTGTCCAGAAGCAGTATTGAATAGCAGGCATCCGCAGAAAAAGGAGGAATTAAGAATTGCCAACATATTTTTTTATTTTTTTCTGGCCGGGTGACTTAGCGGTGGGGCGAGCGGTTCCTTACAGTCGGAAAGGTTGCGACTTCGAAGCCTGTTTGGGCCATTGACTCAGCCCATCATCCCTCTCGGTGGGGGGATGTTAATAAAATAGGTACCACTTTTTTGTGGTAGTCATGGATCAAATCGCCCCTGCCATAGGATCGTGGAATTTCCACCACTGGCACCACTGCAGGGCTGCAATGCCGCAATGCAGAAAATCGGACTTAAATTGATTAAAATTCATTGATGTTTTTTTCTCTCTTAATTTTTGTTATGTCCACACCTCGAAAGCATTTGAAATTGAGGCGTTTCAGTTAATTCACAATTAGTTTATTTTGAGCTAGATCACCATATAGGTCAATTGAACCTCATGGTGGTACCCCAGGGTACTAAATTACCCCGGCTCTCGCATGATGTCCGTGATGCAGTCATTTTTAGTCTGTTGATGGTCGGCGACGCGGCAATTGACTCATCTCGACGAGCTGTACACGATGCACTATTCAAAGTAGAAATTTTCTAAAACAGATTTTTTTTTTTTAAAGCTATGTTTGGCGTTTCGACATCGTGGAGTAGCACTGATGTCGGATCGATTGGTACTCCAGTCGCGGAGTGAAGTACACCCCTGGAAAAAATAGTGTACCAGAAATAAAATATTTAATTGCCTCGGCCTATCTTGTATTATTTGGTACCCCGGGGTCCTGCCATGAGGTTCAAATGTCATTGCCATGTTTTAAACTATAACCCTCCAACCACCTGACAGAGCCAATAAAATCGAATTGTTACGTGGGCAAAGATGCCAATGGATTTGGGTTTTTGAGCAACAGCAGAGGAGGAATGTTGAAGAGCAATGACAGTGTTGAAAATTTGTTTGGGAGGTTTATAGCATTAAAAAAAAAATACCTACACAATCGAACCGAAAAGAACGCAATTACGAATGAATAATGTTGGTCGTGAATCCTGGTGATTAAGTTGTTCACGCGTTTATCTAATATTAATATTAAATTGTATTAATGTGCAAATAAGAGTACACGCGTTCACGTGCGTGGATCGACCAGACCCATGCATATGTCGACCAAGCCCATTCAAGGCTGTAGCAAACACTTACTCCTACAATAACCATCACATCTATTGAACCAGTCATTATTTATTCTCATTATCGACATGCCGTAACATTAAATTCTTCGGTCTTTTCCTGCGACCGCTGGGTAAAAAGCCAGCTGCAATTCCAAAATTCAGCACACAATATAAAAAAAATACTGTACATGCACGGCCATCAACACAATCTGGGCCAGTATAAAACATTGTAATATATATATTTTGGTAAATGCTTTCCGCGATCTTATGTACAAATATATTTCGCAACAAACAATAAAGGCCATGATAAAAATGCGTTGAAAAATCACTTGCGTTCATTGCATGTTCATATAAAATCATCTGGGTTTGTTCGATTAAGGATTTTATCATTATTATTAGAACCAATGGTCTGTAGGAGTCCTGCTACAAACACACGCACACACCAGCTGCAGACCTGCCGCATGCAATCTACAGTAGTGGATCGCAGTAGTTTCCTTCGTGGCAATGACGTCAGTCCGACTCTCAACATTTGCACGACACTCGTATGTGTGTATGTTGAACTTCTTTCGCACCGTACGTAACCAACCGTGCTAATTGGAGGTGCGGGGGAAGGACAACAAACTAAACACAAAAAGCAGTTCTGGAGAAATTATTTTTCCATTTAGTATAGCAGTGTAGTGTACAATAGTGTATCGTAGTGTATAGTTGTGTAAAGGGTAGCGTGCAGCGTAGTGTATAGTGTAGTATGTAGCGTATAGTGTAGTGTATATTGTATAGTGTAGTGTATGTATGTTGAACTTCTTTCATGGCATACGTAGCCAACCGTGCTAATTGGAGGCTAATAGGGGCATCTCTCAAACTCCAGTCATTGTTAACCCTGCCACCATGTGTCTCTTCATCACTACCATATTCATGTTTTTTTTTCCACTCACTTGTGGAAAATAATTACGCTGCACTAGGCTAAGATTCGTTGCCGATTATCATATTTTTCAGGCATAGACATGAAACTTCCCATCGATCGTAAAGTATGATGTAACAGGAAATTATGTCACAGTTTGTTGTCCTTCCCCTGCATTTCCAATTAGAACAGTTGGCTGCATACGGTGCAAAAGAAGTTCAACATACATATTTCCCTTCTGTGCTTTTCCCACCATAACTGGTGTCAACAGGGCATCGGGCGACATCACAGCACGAAGACAATAACTTATAAACACAAAGCAAATGATTCGGAAATCAGAGGAAAAAAAATCCTAAACTGTCCTTAAAAATCGAAATTATCCCAAATTTTTTTTTGGGAAATCCGAAACTCGTCCCGAAATGCTGCGCGTTTATCACGCCTGATTGCCGGCAAATTGCGGGGGGGGGGGGGGGCAAACTGCACGGTGGGAGTCTGGCTGGAGGTGGTGGGGGAGGTTGCAAGGCCTGTAGTTTGAGAAACGCTACTCGATAATGAATATCCCTCGAGCAGACATGGGGGACCTACAGAGCCCGCGACTTCACATTACACGGCCTGTAGGCAACAGCAGCCCCGCCACTTTGAAACAGCCCGCACTACAAGCATCGCAGCTGCACTTCTTCTTTCGTACGGCAAACGTAGATGCGGAGCAACGACTACAATTTCACATTCACGGTGGTCAAGTCGGACAACTGATTCGGGAACAGCGGAGTCTATCGGCGTGATGGCCGCCTTCATATTTGTTGAAGGAGACATCACATCCGCACACTGATCCAGGTATTACAGGGAATATTTTCGCATGTGGCAACCACACTGCATTTTCTAATAGGTAGCACGCTCAGCGTAAAGGTGAGCACCTCATTATTTTCCACGTCGTTATTTATTGGACGTGTTTGCCTACGTGTCGCCCCACATTCGGCCGCTGGTACGAACAATATTCCTTCCACGCCTGACCCAACAGGTGGAATTCTCGGCATCATAAATATGCCGCAAGGGAATAAGCTGCACGGCAGACCCAAGCTGTGTTGTGGAAATGACCAATACGATGCCCCGCCCCCCTTAATAACCCACACACGTCCGCTCCGTTGATTTCCATTGCAATCGTCACGTGCCTGGAGGAGCAACTCTAAATCACCTCCTGCAACGTGGCACGGCTCGGTATAGGTAGGTCCCTGCCACAGCAGAAATCACCGTTGTTGCTCTTACGACTCGAATAACGGCTGCCCTGTTTACATTTTTCTCCGCACGATCCATCCAAGGGACATCAATCAAGGTGAAAGCAGGAGCAAAAAAACTGGGGAGGGGAGAAAGTTGAGATTTTAACAAAATTGGAAAGTTGGCAGTCGCATTGAGTTCCGATCTTTGGATTGTGTCGTTAAATCTGTTCCAGGTTTCAGCGGTCGTTTTTGAAAAATATTCTTAAACAAGTTGTGTTTGTCCACCTAACGATTGAAACAAGATTCATTTATGTAGATCCTGGTAGGGGCATTTCTCGCAAAGCGTCTATCAAAACGTGTCTAGAATTACACGGCAAATGAAACTGACGCTAACACCTAGCGGGTGATGAAGCGTGGAAATAATTTTTTTTTAAAACACCACTCCATGGACCCAGCACTGCACTTGACGCGAGAGTATGAACGTTGGGAAAGAGGAGTGTGGAGGGAGGATGGTGGACGGAGTGGAGGAGTTTGGAAGGAGGATAGTGGAGGCAGGGAGGAAGTGGGTGGAGGGAGGAGAGTGGAGGAGTGTGGAGGGAGGAGAGTGGAGTGTGGAGGGAGGAGAATGGAGGAGTGTGGAGGGAGGAGAATGGAGGAGTGTGGAGGGAGGAGAGTGGAGGAGTGTGGAGGGAGGAGAATGGAGGAGTGTGGAGGGAGGAGAGTGGAGTGTGGAGGGAGGAGAATGGAGGAGTGTGGAGGGAGGATAGTGGAGGAGTGTGGAGGAAGGAGAATGGAGGAGTGTGGAGGGAGGAGAGTGGAGTGTGGAGGGAGGAGAATGGAGGAGTGTGGACGGAGGAGAGTGGAGGAGTGTGGAGGGAGGAGAGTGGAGTGTGGAGGGAGGAGAATGGAGGAGTGTGGACGGAGGAGAGTGGAGGAGTGTGGAGGGAGGAGAGTGGAGGAGTGTGGAGGGAGGAGAGTGGAGTGTGGAGGGAGGAGAATGAAGGAGTGTGGAGGGAGGAGAATGGAGGAGAGTGGAGGGAGAAGAGTGGAGGAGTGTGGAGGAAGGAGAATGGAGGAGTGTGGAGGGAGGAGAATGGAGGAGTGTGGAAGGAGGAGTGTGGAGGAGTGTGGGGGGAGGAGAGTGGAGGAGTGTGGAGGGACGGAGGAGAGTGGAGGAGTGTGGAGGGAGGGAGGAGAGTGGAGGAGTGTGGAGGTCGGAGAGTGGAGGAGAGTGGAGGGAGGAGAGTGGAGGAGTGTGGAGGGAGGAGAGTGGAGGAGAGTGGAGGAGTGTGGAGGGAGGAGAGTGGAGGGAGGAGAGTGGAGGAGAGTGGATGAGTGTGCAGGGAGAAGAGTGGAGGAGTGTGAAGGTAGGAGACTGGAGGAGTGTGGAGCGAGGGAGGAGACTGGAGGAGTGTGGAGGGAGGAGAGTGGAGGAGAGTGGAGGAGTGTGGAGGGAGGAGAGTGGAGACAGGGAGGAAGTGTGTGGAGGGAGCGAGGGAGGAGTAGTGGGACACAGGAACACATTCGCAGGAGGGCCGAGAGCGGTACTCGTGGAAAGTCTAAGCAGATAAATTGCATTTTATTAATTACTTTCAATATTTTGCCTCCAAAATCAATGCGACATTTAGATGTGCACATTAACTGTAAACGATTCCCCTTAAACTGTGTTACAAAAAGTAAAACGAGGCCACTGTTGAAATATCTTCCTTACCGTGAGCCCCAATGTATAGATATATACCGAAGCTGAGCCCTCTTAAAACTCCACTTCCTCCGCCGGCATTACAGGGTGGGGGAACGTGGAGACGATCGGGGGCCGGTGGGGCACGTAAGGACGCCTCACTCGTCGCTGTCGGGCGTCACGCCCAGCATTGCGTGGAGCTCCTCAGGGCTGTAGCCCAGCAGGCTCTGCAGGTCGCACACGAAGCGGTAGACGTAGCGCTTGCCCGATGTCTTGTGCACGATGTTCTTGTCGTAGTAGTAGCGCAGGCCCCGGCTCAGCTTCTCGTAGTTCATCTTGGGCTTGTTCTTCCGCTTGCCCCAGCGCCGCGCCACCTGCGTTTCACAACAACAACAACACGACGGAGAGATGTAGAGGTGGAGGGAGGACCACAGTGTATGCAGTTTAGAATCATAACGAGCGGGGGAGTAGGCACGTATGTTGAACTTCCTTCACAACGTATTGTTAAGGGGGGTTCGATTCAGTTTCTTCGCTGGTGGGTCACACAGCCACCGCATGCGAAACGACGATTTGTATGGTAAGCTGCACTGCTCAAAATGAAATCCAGCCCAACAGCCTGGACATTTAATAACTATTTAAGGGAAGGACGCGCGTCAAAAAACGTGACCTCCAATTCACGTGGTTGTCTACATACGGTGCGAAAGAAGTTCAACATACGTGCAAAAACAAGTTTATAATTTTCATCAATTATCATCGTCTCCGTCATCATCGACCTTGCTCGATCCACTGCTGGTTGAGTCCTCCCCCAAGCCGTCGCCGTCGCCAACATCCGTGTCCTGGCCAATTTAACTTTTCGTCAAAAAGTCGATTCGAAGACCTCTCACTTGCGTACGCTCTCTAACGCACGCATCCCCTCCCCCCCCTCCTCCCCCCCATCCCGTCCCCTTCGGTGCGACTCCGAGCGTGCACCGGGAACTGTTGAGCACTCGTAACGGAATAAATCTTCGCGCGCGACGCGTGGACGCGTCGGGCAGTGGCCCCTTCTTGGCGCTCCCACAGGGACCCTGAAGAAAAGCCACCGGCCGGGAACGCCAGCCGGTCACGCGTCGTGCCCGTTTGCTCGGCGCCGTTGACGACGGGCAGGTGCGCCGCGCCTGCCGTCTGTTCTTCCCCCAGGTCCCTTATCTTGAGCTCAGGAGTAAGGCAACGTTTTTCGACGTCACAAACAACTCGCAATCTTTCGCGAGTAAGCGCATTTCACGCTGACAAGCCTCTCGTTTTGATTTGAAGCTTTCGTGACTGCAGGGATTCATATTTTTTTGTTCTTTCGGTAAAGTCACCACGTTAGAAGGGACTTTACCGAAAGAACAATGAATACGCCTCTTATAGGAATAGGTTTTACCCTTTTAACTGGCACAAAAACTGACACCTTTATTCAAGGCATCATGTTTGCAATAACCACAACATAAGCAGTCAAAATGCAAACAAAAGAGACAACTCTGATAATAATATGCACTGTCCTTGAATTTGATTGGTCCACACCCGAGACGGCTTTTCTTAGAGCCTAGTCTCCATTGGTGTTGCTCATGCGCTCCGCTCGCCAGAGGCTCTTGGCGAAATCGTTTGTCGTGCGCCCACCCACCCCCTCCCTCCTTGTTTGTGAAGCGATGCGCGGTCTCGCGCGTCGCAGGCGCACGTTTCGCTGCGACGGCGTTGACGCAGCGGGGAGGGCGAGAGCTATGCGTGCCAAGTGCACCCCGGTCAGCCGCTTCGTAGAACTGTCGTTTGTGATGGCCAGGTCGCTTCGGAGAAATAGCTACGTTCCTCAAGTAGGCCTTAACTTGTAAAAAAAAAAAAAAAAATTACCCATAACACCTGGGGTTTGTCTTGAGACTTCCTGCCAGGCGAGGCGTCAATACTTCACATGGATCTCAATGTGCACCAGGCCCTGGCCGCGAGCCCTGCGGTGACTGCACCGTCGATGAGTGGTTCATGGACGCTGCTGCTGCTGCTGTTGTTGTTGTTAAGGTGGTGGCAGAGAGATGGGTCACCTTGCGTCAGTGTCATGTGCCAGCGTGGTCCACTCGGCGTTCCCGTAAAGCTCTCTGCGCTCACGGGATTGTTTCGACAGACAGATTTAAAAATGGGTTCCTCAGTGTCAAATGTAGGGGGGGGGGGGGTGATTTGCCCCGAACCCCGCACCCCCAACTTTCGACGGCCCTGCCTGGATGTTTCAGGTAAAGGCCTTGAGCTGCAAGAAAGTGCAACGTCCAGGAGACGTGAAGCTCTGGGAACTAAGCCTCCACTCGGAGTGTGCATCAGCAACCCGTTGGCAAGCCTGTCCGTCTGTCTGGTTGGAGACCATCGCAGGCAAAGTGAGTGGGCCTCACCGGCACGTTACACCTCCACCAGGTGACCGCGCCCATCCATCCAACTGCCAAGCAAGGGTATTCAACGGGCACCGGCGATCACGAGGGGCAACTTTACGCCATCGTTGGAGTAGCTTTTTTTTGCGTCTCAAAAAATTCCCCGCACCTCGTCTGGATCGGAGAGCTTGAATTCCCAACCGTCGCCCGTCCAGCTGATGAAAGGCTGGCACGACTTGTCCGTCAGGAGCTCCAGAAGAAACTGCCACAGTTGGATTGGTCCGCTGCCTGTTCGTCAGCGAGGAGATGCCAAAGGAAGGAGGGGAGGGGAGGGAGGGAGGGAGGGGAGGGAGGGAGGGAGGGAGGGAGGGAGGGAGGGAGGGAGGGAGGGAGGGAGGGAGGGAGGGAGGGAGGGAGGGAGGGAGGGAGGGAGGGAGGGAGGGAGGGAGGGAGGGAGGGAGGGAGGGAGGGAGGGAGGGAGGGAGGGAGGGAGGGAGGGAGGGAGGGAGGGAGGGAGGGAGGGAGGGAGGGAGGGAGGGAGGGAGGGTTGTAAAATTGAGACAACGTTTGGGAGTCATTCCGTGTTTAACACGACACCAACATCGGCAAAAAAACCGAACGTTGGAAGCAGATGTAACAATTTACAGCACATACAAACTTACAAGGGGTCCCGTAAAGGAATTATGGATTTCCTTAGCCAATCGTGCATCATGTGAAAGAGCACCACTAGATTTATGATTCCTCAGCAATATTTAACATCGGTGACAGCAACTGTTAGAATGGAGTTGGCACGTGTCTGGTATCCACAACTACAGTCAGAGGCGTACTGGATGTGGTGTGCTGGGTATAAAAATACTATTTGTTATTATTATTATTATTAACTTAAACCCTTTGTCAGTAATGCATCATGAGCAGCAGCAGCCATGGTCTATCCACTGCTCGATGGAGGGCTGCCAAAGCTGCAGCCTTAATGTTTATGGCTTTCGTGTAGGCTTTTGCGACCAACATTATCTGTAACAAAGGTTTGCTTGGGTTACAGCGCGTGAATATGTGTCGTTAACCCAATCACCACCCGACACAGCCAATTAGTAAGTTTTGTCGCGTGAACAAAATGTGCCAATCAGTGACCACTTCAGCACACCGGAGTGTTGTGAGAGTAAACCCCAAAGCATTTTACAATGAGTACATGACATTGAGCTGGCGACTACAACCAGCGTAATCTGCAGCACGCCGGTGTGTTGGAGAGTAAACCCCACAGCATTTTTACAATTCGATTTAATGACGTTTTCGCTGGCGATTACGACCAGCGGGTGTTTGACTCAGCTGTGGTGTCGGAAGGGTTCACGCAGAGAGAGAGAGGGGGGAGGTCTGTGGTGACGAACGACAATGGTATTTATAAACTATTATCCACGCACACAAAAGCCTTTGACGTCGTTTCCGTTTTGGAAGACGACAAAAATCGGCGGCTTGCGTGATGCTACGTTTCCTCCGCGCGCGAGAGTTCTCGTTTTTTCAACGGAATCACATCGCCGATGCGAAAAGAAGAAAAGACGATTTACGATCAAATGGTCCCAATGAGATCGTTTACGACCGAAAACTGTGGTACATTGTGGCGAAAAGCTGTTTTATATATATATACACCAAGACCATGACTCAAGCAGGACTGAAATGTCAGACGGAGTTTATGGGTTGTCATGTAAACGAGAGATTTAAATGTAGCGTTTGTGTAATTCGAACATTTTTCGCGCGTTTTTTTTATATCAACGATATGAAATCTTATGAATGACTGTCGTTTATGTGTGTGTGTGAGAGACAAAGGCGGCAAGGCATGGTCCTGGCCATACCCCCTCCCCCCTCCCCCCTCACCTCGTATGCAGTGCCGACCTCCGGAGCTCGCTACGGTACTTGCCCCAGAATCCTCTTAAAGGCTATTTGGGGCGACCTTCGTCTTTGCTTTTTGTGTGTGCATGCGTCGGAGTGTACAATTTAATTCCTGAGCACACTCCACATCGATGGCACGTGGTAATTCAACTCACCCCGGGCCACTCCTAGGTCGACTCGGCCTTAAATCTGCATCCATCCTGCACGCCCCTCGCCGCCCCCCCCCCCCCTCCCCCCCACGTGGTCTTTAAATCTACAGTGGCTGAGTGGCGTGCGTGACGGAGCCGTAGCTCGGACGCAGTCGCCCACGGCGGGCAACGGTGCCACCACCCTCGCTGTGACACCGTCATTGGCCCCCACAAGCTGCCGATGCCCCTCGTGACAGCACTGGCCATATGCAAGCACCCAGATGGCCCGCCCGCCCGCCCGCACGATCGCACACCTGTGTCTCCGCCCCGCACGATCGCACACCTGTGTCTCCGCCCCGCACGATCGCGCGCCCGTGCATCCGCCCCGTTACGAGAGCGCACCCGTGTATCCGGCCCGCCCACACACCATCGCGCACCTGTGTATCCAGCTAGGATAGCGGCAGGAATGACCGGCTTGCCCTCGTTGAGCTCGCTCCTCTCGCTCATGTACTCCTTGAAGGTCCCCTTTGGCCGCTGCGCCGGCAGCGCCAGCGGCATCAGGCACTCGTCCTGCTTCCGTGCCAGCGCCACCAGGAAGTCCTCGGGCTCCCTCGCCGCGGCCGCGGCGTTCACGTTGCCGGCATTGCTGCCGTAGGCCCCGGCGCGTCGCTCGTGTCCCCCGACCGCCGCGAGGGCCGCGCGGGGGCCCTGCTGCCCGTCCCCCCGGCGGGCGGTGTGCGCGGCCGCGGGGAAGACGGGGGCCCCCCGGTAGTCGTCCGCCTCGAAGCTGTCGTACGATGGCACTCGCTGCAGGCCGTCGAACGAGGGCGGCCGTGCCCAGGGAGAGGGCTGCTGCGGCTGCTGCTGCTGCTGCTGCTGCTGCGGCTGCTGCGGCAGCGCCAGCAGTGCCGCACCCTCGTAGCTGTCGGCGCTGTCGAACGAGTCCTGGGCGAACATCGCTGCGGTACGGTAGGGAACGGGCCAAACGTGCCACGATCAGCGATGCCCAGAGTTGGCACGAGCTAGCGAGCGGGGGGAGGGGTGGGGAGGGGGCAAAAAGGCAACTTGCCCCAAGCCTCAAACAACGCCACCCCCCCCCGCCCCCGTAGCAGGCCCGTGAGTGGGTGGTGGAATACGAAGGCCCCACGTTGCTTCCGGCTCGAGGCCTTCCAGGAACCTTTTGGTGGCCCTGGCTCCGACCCATCGTCTCCCACCACCTAGCTGGCTCTGGCTCTTCTGCCCTCCCTCCCACGCCCCCCACCGAATAGTTGATTTCCTATTTGGTGTCCCACTGCACTGCCCGTCCTCTCATCGGCATTGAGCTTCATTATTTCTTGAATCACGTCTCTTTTACGTGACAGCATTTGATCAACTGTACGTGTACCGCTGTCGGCCGAACCCAGTTGATCGAAGCATTTCCCAAAATTTGGGTGACACAAACCAGAGCGAAAAGGGCGATTTTCGATTACGCAAACGATAAATTGCCCCGTCAGCGACTTCTGGGGACCAAAAGTCACACAATCCACGCGCGAGCGTCATTTTTTTCCCCCAACTTGTTATTTACAATTCTCAAAGAGACTAAAATAAATAAAAACAAAGCATCGATGGGTTTAAAGAGAAATTAGTAGGTAAGGTCCACTAAGCTATATCGCTCTTTTCCAGAAGCCACCTGGCCACAAATGATCGCCCAGTGAAGGGACTTATCACGTGGACATTTCTAGCCGCCAAATACTCTAAATGAGCGTCGATTCTAAATGTGGAGGGAAAAACCGGAGGCACCCGGAGAAAAAATCAACGCGACTACGGGGAGAGGGAGAGACATGCAAACCCTAGCTATACAGCAGGCGTCATGGTCGGAATCTAACCCACGACCTCCTGTATGCCGGGCGAGGTAGTTAACATCTCGCCATGGCAGAACTCACCGTGTCCGTTATGAGACAAGCACAAGCTCTCCGGCGCCAGGACTTCCTGCTTGACCCGCTGGTAGCTGGGCATGAGGCCTGCCGCGCCCACGTGAGCCTCGCTCGCAGCCACGGGCGGCGGCTGGAAGACACCGCCCCCCTCGTATTTGATGCCGAGCAGCTCCTCCGACGTGACGTTGTGCAGCGTCTGCAGCGACTCGGAGATGAAGCCCGCGTCCGCGTAGTCGGAGGGCGGCACGCACTGCGCCGGCTCCGGATGGTGGCAACCTGGGACACAGCAAGCGGTGGGGGACAGCAGCAGCAGCAGCAGCAGGAGCAGCAGCAGCAGCAGCAGCAACAGCAGCAGCAACAGCAGCAGCAGGGCTTCATTTCAGCCGGGACAGTCCAGAAACGGGAATTGCTTTGGCACGTAATACCCATCGTCGTCTCGATTCGTAAAACACGTTCATGGGATTATAGGAATTCTTACTCTAGTGGTAGTGCCTTGTGCCGACAGCAGCAGTAGGGGCAGCAGCAGGGTGCCACGGTGGCGAGATGTTAACTACCTCGCCATGTATATGTGAGATCGTGGGTTCGGTCCCGAACCCTGACGCCTGCCGTATATTTGGAGTTTGCGTGCTTCTCTCCCCGTGGTCACGTGGATTTTTCTCCGGGGCCTTTTTTTTACATTTAAAAATCTACGTTTAAGAGTATGTGGCTGCTATACTTTTCCACGTGATGATAAGCCACTTCGTGGAGTTATCTTTTGTGGTCAGGTCGATTCTGAAAAAAATCTATATAGCTCAGTGGGCCTTCCATGGTAAAATAAAAAATAGTTTCGTTGTCATAGTTTTAGTGGCAGCAAGGCTTAATTTTTGCAGGAATAGTCCGGAAAATTGAATAGTTTTGGCACGTTTCACAAAACACGATTATGGGATGATAGGAATTCATACTCTCATGGTAGTGCCTCATGCCGATATTCCCTACTCAAAGTCAGCCCTAGTAGCAGCAATCCATAAAATACCGAGCGAAAAATTAAGCCCCATCTACGATCTACAACAAGCAAGCGCTTTTGTCCGGTCATTTGTAAGACATTGCTGACCATGGTGCTGATGATGGTGCTTGATAATATCTCATTAATGTATCGATTGGTGATGGTGGCAATTGCGGTGATTTTATGTGACGATGGTGGGATGGGGGTGATGAATTTAATGAGGATTACAATTGTGGTGGTGGCGTTTGATAACAAATAATCGGCGATGATGGCAGGAGTGGTGTTGGTGATGATGGTGATGACGGTACAAATAATAACGGAGCTGATGATGATTTAATTTTTTCAGTGACATCACTGACCAACTGAGTAGTCCACAGAGTATGCAGAGTTTGCTACTGCAGAGCTGTCCTCCGTACGGAAATGCCTGCTGTCTTCTTGGCATTCTGGCAGAGGGAGAAAGAAACCACCAGACCCCGAAAACTAAATATTTCACATCAAATTTTCACACCGACTTTCCCACACAATCGGCAAATTATTATTATTATTTTCACCACGGAAATGCAAAAAATATTAACCATAAAAACGGTGGTGTCAGCATCATTATCGGGCATTAAACGCGAGGGGACAGACTCAAGAGAAATGCCCACCATGGATCAAGAGCAATGAGAGAAGTGACAACGGCTCGGGGAGGCCTTCATCCAGCAGTGGATCGATGATGCTGCTGATGATGGTGAAGGGGAAACAACCCCCAAAGGGCCACTGCACAATTTTTGCCTTTGAACGTCAAAGTTGACAGAACTCACGGCGAGGGGGGCAGTTGCCGTGGGGTGGAGGGGGTTGGAGGAGAGAGAGAGAGCTCACCTCTCAGCAGGAGCTCCAGGTGTTCCCACAGGATGTCTCCCACGTAGTCGGGAGCCAGACGCAGGAAACGCTCCTTGCCCAACGAGCAGAGGGCCCGGCCGCTCAGGGCCAGCCGAGAAACGTCGAGGCCCTCCAGGCTGAACTCCGTCGCGGCCCACAAGAGCCACTGGGCCACCTGCCCGGCCGTCCAGACGGTGGGGTCTGTTCGAGAGACGAGAGAAAGAGGGAGTGGCCGTTTCAGTGACAAAGCTATCGAATGTGTGGACGGTACAATTGTGTGCGTGTGTGTGTTGAACTTTTTTCACGCCGTGCTTAGTCAACCATGCTATATCGGAGAAGGAAGCGGAAGGACACGAAACTAAACAATTGCACCGAAGTCCACTCCATGGAGATTGGGGCTGAGAACAGGGGTTCCCCATGACATTTAGATTATTTGGTTGCTATACATTTCCACATGATCGGCCACTTGGTTGAGCTATAATTTTTGGCCAGGTCGCTTCTGTAAAATAAGTTAATACCTCAGTGGGCTTTACCTGGTAACATAAAAATAGTTTAGTTTAAAATGCATATTCTTAAGTGCTTTATTTACTTAAAAAAATATATGCTTTGCACTCCGATCGTGTGTGTGTATCGATTGCTGTTGTTGTTGTTGTAACGTCCTGACCCACCCCTAACTGGACATCTGTGAAACACAGCATTATAGCTCATCGGGTTCCTGTGGTATAAATAAATATCCCGATTCATTCCTTACAGCAGAGGCCACGCCGACCTCGCTACGCCACTGGTACCGCTACGCTCGGGTGTACGAGCACCGTGGGCTGTGGTCATTGACTTGGGGTTCACCGATTCACGTCCCTCCCCCGCCTCCCAGCGAGTTGATGGCCGTCGTGACAATTTGGGATTACACTCCAATTGATTTGTTAACCAGCCACGTGGCCGCTCAGTGCAGGAGGCGAGCGGCTCGCAATCGGAGTTCGAATCCCGGGTGGGGTTTTGACCAAACGGCATCATCACTGCAAGGGTCAATAAAATTACGTACCGCTTTGCGGGGGGGGGGGGGGGGGGGGGGGATATCCACAGTGGTTGCCCCAACGGACAGACTAGGACCTCGCCATAGGAATGGAGAATTTCCACCACTGGCAAAGGGCTGTTAGCGATAGATGAGCACCATTTCGACGCGCACCCGAGCATGCAATCATTTTGCTCATTCAAGAAATGGAACTGCACGTTACATTCCGGATGACGTGGCCCACGTAATCCTGTTTTACAAAACGAAACCAAAACACGCAACACAATTTCACCGCGTCGCAACGTTCAAGTTGGGGAGACAACCGGCACCGGTGTTGTGCCGGTGTGGAAAATCGATTCACTCCCCTGCGCCCGGGAACGTCATCTAATCCGGGGGGGGGGGGGGGGGGGGGGGGGTGTGCGTACCGCCAGGATGTGTGGGCCCGTACGTGTGCACGAGGTTAACAGTGGGGAGAGTTGCACGGCGGGGGAAAAAGAAAAAAATACTTGCTGCTGCTGCTGCGCGCGATATGCATCACCAATTCTTAATTGCGCAATTTACCGCGGCGACATGACGATACAGTCCGAGCGTACAGATGTCCTATGCATCTCTGTGACTGTGTGTGGGTGTGTGACTGTGTGTGGGTGCGTGTGTGTATCTCTGTGACTGTGTGTGGGTGTGTGACTGTGTGTAGGTGTGTGTGTGTGTATCTCTGCTCGCTAACAGCACTTGCCCCTACAGTCTGTTAAGGCTATACGGGGGATCTTTGTCTTTGTATCTCTGTGACTGTGTGTGGGTGTGGATCTCTGTGACTGTGTGGGTGTGTGACCGTGTGTGGGTGTGTATCTCTGTGACTGTGTGGGTGTGTGTGACTGTGTGTGGGTGTGTGTGTGTGTATCTCTGTGACTGTGTGTGGCTGTGTGTGGGTGTGTGTGTGTATCTCTGTGCCTGTGTGTGGGTGTGTGGGTGGGTGTATGTATCTCTGTGACTGTGTGTGGGTGTGTGACCCTGTCTGGGTGTGTGTGTGTGTGTATCTCTGTGACTGTGTGGGTGTGTGGGTGTGTGTGTGTATCTCTGTGACTGTATGTGGGTGTGTGTGTTTATCTCTGTGACTGTGTGGGTGTGTATGTGGGTGTGTGTGTGGGTGTGTATGTGGGTGTGTGTGTGGGTGTGTGTGTGGGTGTGTGCGAGGAGCGGTAGCGTTGCAGTTCAGCGAGCTGCGCTACGAACCCGGCAGTTACAAGTTCGATTCCCACTCACGGCCAACAACGCCAGTGACGATGATCTGAACCGGTCCTGGGCCTCCTCTCTAGGTCGACTCAGCCTTAAATCAAGACCTGGTGCGATCTATAAGCATCGCTGCTGGGGAGACAAAGGCGGCCGGGCGTGGTGCTGGCCACCCACCCCCTCGTGTGCCGTGCCAGCCTTCAGAGGTACTCGCTAACAGATCTTGCCCCAACTGTCTCTTAAGGCTACACGTGCAGGGAGCTGTAGCATAGTGGTTAGCACGCTGCACTACGAACCTGGTGACATGGGTTCGATTCCCGCTCGTGGCCGACACCAGTGATGATTATTTAAACCGTGCCTGGGCCTGCCTTAGGTCAACTAGGGTGGGGTGTGTAAACATCGCCACTGGGAAGACAAAGGTGGTTGCGTGTGGTGCTAGCCACTCACCCCCTTGTGTACTGTGCCGGCCTTGATAGGCACAAAATGCCAAGCGGCCAGCAATAAACATGATGTCGATTGCGAAATATTTAATGGATGAATGTTTACATGTTACACAGAAAGTCCCGTGTAGCCAGTCACCCAGCGAGTTTGCAAAATGGAGATCCGTGCTGCATCAGCACAGAACGGGAACAACAACATCAAAGCGGTGACGATGATCATGATCACACACCACCCACCAGCAGTGATCGTGGCCTGGAGCAGACCACGTATCTCCCCTGCTCACCAATAATTCCTCGTGAAGGAGTGTTTGTTTTTTTGCTTATAAATGTTGACCGCAAGAAGCAACATATTCCGACGTATATGGCATTGACACCCCCGGTAAAAAAAAAATGTTTAGCTGGCACGTGTTGTAACGGGTACTGCAAGATCAGACCGTGTCCGTCCAGTGCTCGCCGAGCCGCATTAGCTTCCGGTTACCGAAACGAATTCATTGTAAGGTCACACTTATCAGACACGACGTGCTTGCCACAAATGAACCACAATGCCTTGCTGATCTCGTCTAGGAGCATAAACCATCACGCAAACTCTGGTCACCCTCGCAACGGCTTTTGGCAAACCACTGAACAAAGACGGTCACTGCATCGCGCGCTTTCAGATGCGCTTCTGCGGCCGTCTGGAACGCTCTTCCTTCCGATATTAGGAAGCCACCGGAGCTATGCACTTTGAAATCATCTATACTGAAAACGAATTTCTTTCGAACTGCAAGTTATTGTGTTTAGTACGCTGTCCTTCTCCACGCACCTCTGATTAGCGCGGTTGGCTACGTATGGTGGGAAAGGAGTTCTCCGTACGCACGCACGCACGCACGTACCCCTCGGGATGAAGAGGCGCAGGCGCTCCTTGGTGAAGCCGCTGAACGTGTCCCTCAGCGCCTGGGACATCACCGCCTTGCTGCCAGGCGTCAGCAGCGGCACCTCCACGCCATCGAGCTCTGCCCGGCAAGAGCAACAATGCACGGAGGGATGTGAAAAGCATAAGAAAAAAAAACAACGCCTTCACTAACTACTTGCTATTTCTTATCTTGGCAGGTAAGGCCCATTGAGCTATGTAGCGCTTCTTCAGGAATGACCTGGCTATCACAAATGATAGCTCAGCGAAGTAGCTTATCACGTGGAAATGTATAGCAGCCGCCATATACTCTAAATGCACATTGATTCTGAATGTGGAGGGGACAACCGGAGGGTCCGCAGAAAAATCCACGTGACTACGGGGAGAGAGATACATGCAAACTCTAAACATACAGACGTCGGGGTCGAGATCGAGCCCACGACCTCCTGTATACCAGGCGAGTATTTGGCAGCTATACATTTCCACATGATAAGCAACCTCGATGAGCTATCGTTTGTGACCAGGTCGCTTCTGAAAAAGAGCCACATAGCTCAGTGGGCCTTTCCTTGTAAAATAAAACAATAGTTTATCGGGTTTAAAAAAAAATAGTTTATGTAATGTATTACATCTTGCAAAGGGACACACGTAGAATAGCCCTACAAGGTCCTCCGAGTAATGACCACGGCTTGATTATGACCTAGAATAATCAAGCATCATCAAGGAGTCATCAAGCATTTAGAAACATGCATTTAGATTATTTAAATCATTTTTCTGCTCTAAATTCCCATGCGATAAGCCACTTTGTGGCCACGTTGCTTCTGAAAAATAAGTTCATAGCTCAGTGGCCTTTACCTGGTAAGCTAAAAACTAGTTTCGTTTTATTTGAAAATGTTTTACGTTATTTGTTTACCTCTCCTATACTTTGCACTCATGTTTTTTGTATGATTTGTTGCGTAACGTTTCGATCCGCTACTACTGATCATCTGTGGAAAAAAAGCTTTATAGCTCATCGGATTCCTCCAGTATAAATACATATTCTGATTTTGATGAAGAACTTGTAGTGGTACCAACCCATTCAATTATGCAGGAAGACCCCACGATTCGTGTAGTGGAGCAAGTGCTGTAAGCGAGCACCTGCTAAGTCCGGAGTGGCAGACAGAGGGAATGGTGGTGGCTAGCACCACTCATGGCCACCTTTGTCTCCCCGGTGCTGATGGTTTTCCACTGCATCAGGAGGGTGGTGTATGTGATGGTGGTGGTAGTAGTTTGTGCACCACTGCACTGAAAATCCTGGCAATGCGAGTTTAATTCCTCGCCAGGCAGCATGCATTTGTTTTTCCTTGTGTTCAGTTTACTGTCCTTCCCCTGCACCTCCGATTAGCACGGTTGGCTACGTCCGGTGCGAAAGAGGTTCAACACACATGCACACCGTACATAAACATCAATGTGGGAGGTAATATCTCGAATCTGCCTTTGGTGCCTTTGCCAGGTCTACCAAGGACACACACCGCACACAGAGTACAAGACCGAGCAATTGCAACAACCGAGTCCAATTACCATTCATTGGTTTGAACAGCCTCGTCCAAAGTCCGCGATCAGGTAATGACTTTCCCACATCGGCGCCCGCGAGCTTGGGTCATTTTGAGAGCAATCGCTACCTGTTTCGGGGTTTCACTTCCTATTTCATCTCATTCGTGTAAACTTCTATTTTTGTATTCGATTTTTTTTCGATTTTTAAACAGCTGCGTTGTATTCACGTACGGGCGATGCTGCTCCTGCTACCGTTGGCTTCTTTTAAAGTCTCGAATGTGCTGTTGCCTATCCCCCCCCCACCCCCCCTAGGGTCTCCCTCCCAGTGAGAAACTTCAGCACGACCAAGGCCCCTTCACTTCGGCGAGTTGCCTCGACTCTCAACAATCTCTCTTTCTCGACAGAGCTGCCACCACCACCACCCCCCACCACCACCAACACTGCCACGTTACGACACAACGCTTCACGTGAACCGCTGCGACTCGGCCAACACACGCAAGAGAGTTGACGGCTTTGTGCAGAATTCAGAGTGGTTAGGTTAGGAGATCATTAATGGAAGCGTGCCTATATTAGCCTGGCAGTCTGCGCCACCCACTCGCATACATGCACGCACACACAGAGAGACCTCCAGGGCAGCCTCCCCCTCGCGTCTCCGACCCTCTCCACGTTACCCATTACTCTCCGGTAAAACACGCGCCTCCTCCTCCATCTCTATCTCTCTGTCTCTCAACACGCGTTCGCCATTCATTAATCGAGCACATCGTCGACTGAAAGGCGTGTAGGCAGGGCGTCAGAGACACCCCACGCCGTAAGGTGACGACGAGGATGATGATGATGATGGAGACCAAACATTCGACCTTTAAACCGAAGCGCAGTCTGCGCAACTCTAGGACAGTTTAACAACCCCCAACAATCCCCACTCCTGGTGTCTCTCCCCCCCCCCCCCCATCTCTCTCTCTCGCAGACACACACGTCCCAGAGAAGCACAACACAAACATGGATAAGGAACAGGCCGTTCCAAGAATGCGCAAACGCGGCCGCAAACGTACAGAGGAGGGCGAGGGGTGAACGAGGGGGCGTAAAGCGACTGTAAACCATAGCTCGAGTGAAATAACAATGCGTATCCCAACGTTGGATCGTTCATGATGATGATGATGACGGTGGTGGGTCGTTTGACCATACTTCACCACGCTGCGGGTTGGCGGTGTGTGTGTCTGGGGGGGGGGGGGGTATGTAACCCAGGCTAGGTTCAGCTGGCCTGGATTATATTCTCGAACCGGGCTACACACACGCACGCTCACGCACACGCGCGCGCGTTCACGTCCGAACAAACTCCACACAGCGAGTCGAGGGAAGGCGAGGGGGCTCCAAAGGCAGTGACCATGGGGGTGGGGGGGGGGAGAAACACAGCGGCGTTGGCTGGAGGCGCACCCAACAATCGTACGACAAACACCCGGTAGCTGTACAATGTTTATCCAGAAGGAGAGCGAGCGACGAGAGAGGGAGATGGAGGGAGGTATGGGGTGGGTGGTGGGCAGATAAGTTAAAGAGCCGCTCTCTCTTCTCGAGCCGCGGGGATGGCGGGCGCCGAGATTCGTTCTCACCTGACGGCCTCTCGCTCTTGATCACCTTGACTCTGATGTCGCACGGAGCTTTGAGCCACGCCATGGATGTTGCGACCGCAACGGAGGACGTCCTCGCAAATGTTATTGGGGGTGGCGGGGTGGGGTGTGTAGGAGGTGGGGGGGGGGGAACTTAGGGGGAGTACGGAGAAGCGAGGAGGCGGGAGGGATACGGAACGCGTGTGAGAGTGCGTAAGGATGGGTGTGTGTTGAATGGGTGTGTGGGTGGGTGAGTAAGTGTTGGGTGCGTGAGTGTGTGTTGGGTGGGTGAGTGAGTGTGTTGGATGAGTGTGTGGGTGAGTAAGTGTGTGTGTGGGTGTGTTGGATAAGTGTGTGGGTGGGTGAGTGTGTTGGATGAGTGTGTGAGTGAGTAAGTGTGTTGGGTGGGTGAGTGAGTGTTGGGTGGGTGGCTGGCTGAATGAGTGTGTGTGTGTGTTGAATGGGTGTGTGTGTGAGTGTGTTGTGTCGGTGGGTGAATGTGTGTTGGGTGAATGTGTGTGTTGGATGGGTGTGTGGGTGGGTGACTGTGTGTGTTGGGTGGGTGACTGTGTGTGTTGGGTGGGTGGCTGAATGGGTGTGTGAGTGGGTGAGTGTGTTGGATGGTTGTGTGGGTGGGTGAGTGTGTGTGTATTAGATGGGTGTGTGGGTGAGTGAGTGTGTTCTGTGGTTGGTGTGTGTGAGTGGGTAAGTGTGTGTTGGGTGGGTGAGTGTGTGTTGGGTGGGTGAGTGAGTGTGTGTTGGGTGAGTGAGTGTGTTCTGTGGGTGGGTGAGTGTGTGTGAGTGGGTAAGTGTGTGTTGGGTGGGTGAGTGTGTGTGTGTTGGGTGAGTGAGTGAGTGTGTGTTGGGTGGTGAGTGAGTGTGTTGGATCAGTGTGTGGGTGTGTGTTGGGTGGGTAAGTGAGTGTGTGTTGGGTGGGTGAGTGTGTCTGTTGAATGGGTGTGTGGGTGAGTGTGTTGTGTGGGTGGGTGTGTGTTGGATGGGTGTGTGGGTGGGTGAGTGAGTGTGATCTGTGGGTGGGTGAGTGTGTGTGGGTGTGTGTGTGAGTGTGTTGTGTCGGTGGGTGAATGTGTGTTTGGTGGGTGAATGTGTGTGTTGGATGGGTGTGTGGGTGGGTGACTGTGTGTGTTGGGTGGGTGGCTGAATGGGTGTGTGAGTGGGTGAGTGTGTTGGATGGTTGTGTGGGTGGGTGAGTGTGTGTTGGGTGGGTGAGTGTGTGTGTGTTAGATGGGTGTGTGGGTGAGTGAGTGAGTGAGTGTGTTCTGTGGGTTGGTGTGTGTGAGTGGGTAAGTGTGTGTTGGGTGGGTGAGTGTGTGTTGGGTGGGTGAGTGAGTGTGTGTTGGGTGGGTGAGTGAGTGTGTTGGATCAGTGTGTGGGTGTGTGTTGGGTGGGTAAGTGTGTGTTGGGTGGGTGAGTGAGTGTGTTGGATGAGTGTGTGGGTGAGTGTGTATTGGGTGGGTGAGTGAGTGTGTGTATTGGGTGGGTGAGTGTGTGTGTTGAATGGGTGTGTGGGTGAGTGTGTTGTGTGGGTGGGTGTGTGTGTTGGATGGGTGTGTGGGTGGGTGGGTGAGTGTGATCTGTGGGTGGGTGAGTGTGTGTGGGTGTGTGTGTGTTGGCTGGGTGAGTGTGGTGGGTGGGTGAGTGTGTTGGATGAGTGTGTGGGTGAGTGTGTGTGGGTGTGTGTGTGTGTGTTGAGTGGGTGAGTGAGTGTTGGATGAATGTGTGGGTGAATGAGTGTGTGAGTGGGTGAGTGTGTGTTGAGTGGGTGAGTGAATGAGTGTTGGATGGGTGTGTGGGTGGGTGATTGAGTGTGTTTTGGGGAGCGGTAGTGTAGCGGTCAGCGCGCTGCGCTATGAACCTGGCGACCCGAGTTCGATTCCCACTCACGGCCAACACCAGTGACGATTATCTGAACCGGTCCTGGGCCTCCCCTAGGTCGACTCAGCCTGAAATGAGTACCTGGTGCGGTGTGTAAACATCGCCACTGGGTAGACAAAGGCGGCCGGGCGTGGTGTTGGCCACCCAACCCCCTCGTGTGCCGTGTCGGCCCTCATAGGTGCTCGCTAAAAGCACTTGCCCCAACAATCTGTCAAGGGTATACGGGGGATCTTTGTCTTTGTGGTGGAAAAGCTGCGGGGAGGAGTGCCGGCCGCCTCGGGACGTGATTTTGTAGGGGCCGCTCAGAGCGCGCGAGGTTCCTTGCTGGGTGTAGGTTGGGTGGTGAGTACCGTCTGTACTCGCTTAACTTCACCGTCACATCTGCTTAAGACGGGGACTTCACACCGCACACACACGGTGAGACAGAGAGAGAGAGATGCGGTGAAAGAAGCTGTAGGCAGTGTCGGCTATATATCATGATCAGCCATGGTCAATCCACCGCTGGTTTAAGAAGCCCCTACCCGTCACCCAGACGTCACGTTCCGGCCTTTGTGACAATCCAGCCGGACCCGCTCATTTCGCGCAATCTTTGTGATAGACGAAGACTATTCGTGTCACGGCGCTGCACTGCCCAGTACGCATTTCCATCGCACACACAACAAAGCACCGGAATTTCGCAAGCCGACGTCTTTGCCAATGCAATGCCCCGGGGAACTTGTTTTTTTTTTAGAAAAATGAAATCTCAAAGGCGGCCAAACAGAACCTTGGTATCCGCCATACGGAACCATGAAAAGTAACAAGCCATCGGGAAGCCACCACCAACACTCCCTGCCACGCGTGGCCCACGCACGCGTGGTCGCGTCCGTGTTTGGGAGCGGCAGCGTCGGCGATGCGCGCCACGAACCTGGCCCCGACCCCGAGTTCGTTCCACGCTCACGGCCACCGCCACCACCCACCGGAGACGATTATCTCCACCGGCCATGTCCCTCCTCCCCCTAGGTCGACTCGGCCTCAAACGAGTAGCTGGTGCGGCGGTGTGTACACATCGCCACTGGGGAGACAAAGGCGGCCGGGCGTGGTGTTGACCACCACCCCCGTGTGCCCGTGCCTTCCCAGGTGCTGCTCGCTCACAGCACTTGCCCCAACAGTTTGTTAAGGCGACGTCCGTGCCCGCGTTCACTCAGGACTGCCTCGAAGCTCCCCCCCCCCCCAGGACGCCTTATGTAACATAACCCAACCACGTCGCTTTGAGTCGGCAGGCAACTTCGACGCGGAGTTTACATCGTGCAAGCACTGTACGCGCCTTGTTGGCTCGTTGTTCTAGGATTCGTTTTCACGGCGACGTCGCTTCCCCCCCCCCTCTCGATCTTGTTTGGATGCTGTCCGATGCGAGTCGTGTGAGTTGCTCGTCGATGATCGGGGCACAGAGTGGGTTTTCGATGTCCCGGCGAAACAGCGGCAACAATGGGGCGAATGACTCAACAGCCCCACGACCTCCCTCCCCTCCTGGCATCTCTCCATCCGGCAGTCAACAACAACAGCAAAATGAACAACCACCACCGCTGTTCGTCGATGGGCAGTTCGAGTCTGGTGGGGGGGGGGGGGGGGGGGGGTTAAACTGTAGGTGCTCCTACCTCTTCGTGGAAGAGTTCAGGCCCAATGTCCTCTCAAGACGGGGCTCGCTAGAGCTCCCCCTAGTGGACGTCTTTCCGCCAGCAGCAGCGTGAGCGAGAAATTTCAGGGCTGCGCCTTGACATTCACGAAGGTTTGCCCACAGCCTGCAAACAAACCTAATTCGATGTGTGTACGGTACGTGGTTGTTCGTGGTGTGTGTGCGTGCGTGTGTGTTTTTATTCTTTGGTTCGGTATAATCAGGGGCTTAATTGCTCACCGAATATTTTTCCTGGAGTGTGTCAACAGTCGATATTTTGTAATGCAAGGATGAGAACTTAAAATAGATTAATTGCTTCCAACATGAATGTATTAAAATGTTTGAATTGAAATAGAACAATCAAACATGGAACAATTGTTAAGTTAAATAAAGTTATAATAGAAAAAAAGAATTCCAATAAGAAAGCAATAGGACTTTTCAAATCGCAAAAAAATCGCAGCCTTTGCGACGTGCTAATCGCATTGTTTCAAATTGCGATTTCGATTTGAAATCGATTCGTCGTTCAGCCCTCGTCTACACTTGCATGGTGGAGTAGCTGCCATCGGACTCGTCGTAGCCACAGTCAAAACCAGAGGGGTGACTGTCGCACTGGATGTTGTGTGCCGGGTGCGGAGATTTTTTTTCCGGAGCTCAGTCCTGAACAGCTCCTTAACGCACATACCGTGCCAATACGAGATAGCGGTAATTGTCTTCCCAGCTATGGCTTCTTAGATTGTGCGTTGCGTGAAGGTTGTAATAATCATTGATGGATGAAGGTTCTTCCCTCGCCGTGTCGTCATGTGGTTTGTTTGGCCATACTTCACCGCGCTGGTCAGTGCCGGGTCGGTGAATGTGAGCAGTCTAGGACCGGTTTTGTGTGCCGGGAATCGAACTTGTTTTTGTTTGTTTGTTTGCCGGGTTCAGCGTGCAGTGTGTGAACAACCGCTTCCACTGATCTACCTCTCGAATCCAGACGCAGGCTGCACCGAAAAGCCCAAATGCAGGAATGTCTACACATTGTAGATTCCACGCGAAGATGCGGTTAGAGCTCGCGCGTGCTGAGTAATGGATGTGGAATCACATCCAAGACCTTAACCGAGCTGAGAGCTCGACGCGGCCCATCATGCTCTCTCGCAGTGGCCCTTAATCTTCGCCGCAGTCTCGCAACCCCTTTGGTACAACGCTAATAAATACACAGGGTTTCGATGAAAACAAAGTTAGTTGCAGCTTACGTGCCCGTGCATAGTTTGAGTTTCGATGATTTGCCCTCGAAAAAAATCTGGCCACGTCTCGTACACCTCCAGGAATCTCGCACCGCCGCCGGGTCAGGGACCGTCCATAAATGACGTCACGCGAGTTTGGACGATTTTTGTCACCCCCCCCGTCGTCACACGGCGTCACAAAAAGTCAGACACCCCCCCTCCCATATGACGTCACAAAGTTCTGTCCCCCCCCCCCCAAAAAAAAAATGCTTCAAATCGCTTTAAACTATTGTCATTGTAGTGCGTATTTAATGTGGCACTGCACTCTGATGTTGTAGGAGAAAACAT